TAAGCATTTCACTGCAATGTCTGCACCTGTTGTATTCCGCGCATGTGACCAATACAATTTGATTTGATTTGATTTGATTTGATTTGACTACCAGAACCCACTGGATTCTCCAATTACATTGAATGAACTACAAGAAAAAATACAAACCCTCCAACCCAAAAAGGCCTGTGGTGTTGATGGTATCCTCAATGAAATTACATTTACATTTTAGTCATTTAGCAGACGCTCTTATCCAGAGCGACTTACAGTTAGTGCATACATTATTTTTTATACCCCCTGTGGGAATCGAACCCACAACCCTGCGTTGCAAACGCCATGCTCTACCAACTGAGCTACATCCCTGCCGGCCATTCCCTCCCCTACCCTGGGCCAATTGTGTGCCACCCCATGGGTCTCCCGGTCGCGGCCGGCTACGACAGAGCCTGGATTCGAACCAGGATCTCTAGTGACACAGCTAGCACTGCGCCACTCGGGAGACTAGAGATGATAAAATATACAGACCACAAATTTCAATTGGCTGTACTTAAACTATTTAACATTATCCTCAGCTCTGGCATCTTCCCCAATACTTGGAACCAAGGACTGATCACCCCAATCCACAGCAAATTTCAAATCGGCTTTTGACCAAATGACCGTATGACATACCACCTATCCCTGCACAACTTTATTGACAAACAAACAAAACAAAAGCAAAGTCTTCTCGTGCTTTGCTGGTTTCAAAAAAGCTCTTGACTCAATTTGGCATGAGGGTCTGCTATATAAATGGATGGAAGGCAGTGTTGGGGGAAAACATACGACATTATAAAATCCATGTACACAAACTAATTGGCAAAAAAACACATTTTCTTTCCTCAGGGCCGTGGGGTGAGACAGGGATGCAGCTTGAGCCCCTCCCTCTTCAACATATATATCAACAAATTGGCGAGGGCACTAGAACAGTCTGCAGCACCAGGCCTCACCCTACTAGACTCTGAAGTCAAATGTTTACTCTTTGCAGATGATCTGGTGCTTCTGTCCCCAACCAAGGAGGGCCTACAGCACAGCACCTAGATCTTCTGCACAGATTCTGTCAGACCTGGGCCCTGACAGTAAATCTCAGTAAGACAAAAATAATGGTGTTCCAAAAAAGGTCTGGTTGCCAGGACCACAAATACAAATTCCACCTAAACACCGTTGCCCTAGAGCACACCAAAAACTATACCTACATCAGCCTAAACATCAGCGCCACAGGTAACTTCCACAAAGCTGTAAACGATCTGAGAGACAATGCAAGAAGGGCCTTCCACGCCATCAAAAGGAACATAAAATTTGACAAATTGTTGAATCAGTTATAGAACCCATTGCCCTTTATGGTTGTGAGGTCTGGGGTCCGCTCACCAACCAAGAAGTCACAAAATAGGGAGAAACACCAAATTGAGACTCTGCATGCAGAACTCTTCAAAAACATCCTCAGTGTACAACATAAAACACCAAATAATGCATGCAGAGCAGAATTGGAACTATAACCACTAGTTATCAAAATCCCCAAAAGTGCAATTCAATTCTACAACCACTTCAAAGGAAGTGATTCCCAAACCTTCCATAACAAAGCCCTCACCTACAGAGAGAGGAACCTGGAGAAGAGTCCCCTCAGCCAGCTGGTACGGGGACTCTGTTCACAAACACAAACAGATCCCAGAGAGCCCTAGGACAGCAACACAATTAGACCCAACCAAATCATGAGAAAACAAAAATATAATTATTGTCACATTGGAAAAAATCTACAAAAAAACAGCGCAAACTAGAATGCTATTGGGCCCTAAACAGAGAGTACACAGTGGCAGAATACCTGACCACTGTGACTGACCCAAAATTAAGGAAAGCTTTGACTATGTACAGACTCAGTGAGCATAGCCTTGCTATTGAGAAAGGCCGCCGTAGGCAGACCTGGCTCTCAAGAGAAGACAGGCTATGTGCACACTGCCCACAAAATGAGGTGGAAACCAAGCTGCACTTCCTAACCTCCTGCCAAATGTATGACCATATTAGAGACACATATTTCCCTGGGATTACACAGACCCACAAAGAATTAGAAAACAAATCCAACATTGATAAACTCCCATAGGTGAAATATCAGTGTGCAGCAAGATTTGTGAGCGGTTGCCACAATGGCAACCAGTGAAGAACAAACACCATTATAAATATAACCTACATTCCTCTGTTTATTTATCTTTCCTTTTGTACTTCAACTATTTGCACATTGTTACAACATTGTACATAACAATAACATTTGAAATATCTATATTATTTAAAAACTTTTGTGAGTGTAACGTTTACTGTTAATCCCTGATTGTGTATTTCCCTTTGGTTTATTATCTATTTCACTTGCTTTGGCAATGTTAACATATGTTTCCCATGAGAGAGAGGAGGACAGAGAGGGAGAAGGGGAGAATGGAGAGAGAGGAGGACAGAGAGGGAGAAGGGAGAGAGAGGGAAGGAGGTAAAGTGAAGTGTGTGTGAAGAAGCTTCATTCACGACTGTAATCAGGTAGAGAGAGACAGGTAGAGACAGGTAGAGACAGGTAGAGACAAGTAGAGACAGGTAGAGGCACAGCAGGTGAGAGGCAAGCTGTGTCATTAGCTGATTCATACACACACACACCATGCAACCCTCAACAGAAAGCATGCAGGAGAGACAGGTAGAGACAGGTAGAGACAGGTAGAGACCGGTAAAGACAGGTAGAGACAGGTAGAGACAGGTAGAGACCGGTAGAGACAGGTAGAGACAGGTAGAGACAGGTAGAGGTACAGCAGGAGAGAGAAGAGACTCACCCACAGCATCAGAGACACAGATCCTCCATCGCTAGGCTTCTCTGCCTGCACACTGAGTATGGAGAGAAAGAGAGTGAGAGAGAGAGCCAGAGAAATGGCAATAAAGAGAGAGATGGAGAGAGAGGAAGGAGAGGAAAGAGAGAAGAGAGATGAAGAGAAAAGGAGAGAAAATGAGGAAAGCGAGGGGAACGAGAGAGGGAAGAGAGAGGGAAGAGAGAGGAAAGAGAGAGAGGAAAGAGAGAGAGAGGAAAGAAAGGAGGCAGTCTATGTGCCATTACTGTATGACAAGACTGCTCAGTTCAGCCCACACAGTGCAACATGACACACTGACTGTGTGTGTGTGTGTGTGGATAGAAAGGCTCAGTCTCCCACGCTGATGAGTGGGCCAGACCTACACCAATCTATCCCTTCTCCCTCCCTCCCTCTGCCACTAACACATCACTCTCAGATAACCGAAGAGGAGGAGGAGAGGAAACTAGAACATGGAAAACAGATTGACAGAAAGAAAAGAAGACAATGTATGGCAAAGTGGTAAATGTGAAGGAATCGGACAGAGAGGGATGCAGAGACAGTGGGAGAGGGTAGAGAGGCAGAGAGGAAGGAGAGAGGAGCAGAGGGCAGTGGGAGGGTAGAGGAGGGAGGAGAGGGGGCGGCATTTTTTGGGGGGGGGGGGGGGAAAAAAAAAGGGGGGGGTTTGGGGGGTTT